TGACAACACATGCGCCAGCAACAGCGCAGCGGCGGCGCAACGGCGTGGGATTTCACAAGTACTCCGCGCTCGCTCACAGCGCGGCGCAACGGCGCGAGTGCAGACCACAGCGCGCGGTGTGCCCGGTGCGGCGCAACGGCGCAAAGCCGTTTTCGGACGTACCGTACATCCCGCCTGCGATGTGCTATCAGTGCTATCAGACATTATGAGACCATAACTTCCTGCGATGTAACACAACACATCGTCAGTTGCTTCTGTCGAGGTACTTCGGTGCACCTTGTTCGTGAATGAAGACTCCAAGCAGGACTCGGCCGCCAAGGCCTCCACACCTTGAATCCGGTGCAGGGCAAAGCGTGTCCAGGAACGGTGTGGACGCACTTTGCTGAGCGCGCTCGCCGCCTTCTTCGATCGCTTTGCCACCCCTGGCGCCAGCTCAGGGACTTTGTCCTTCTGCATGGGGCCTGCTGCTGGGACTGGGATTGAGAGCGAAGTTGGGGCTTCCCTAGGGCTACCGATCGTGAGAGGAGGGCTACACGAAGACGACGAGGGAGCAGCAATGTCGTTTTCCTCTTCAGGATGGCATGAGCACAGCATTTGAGCCGATCCCAGCCTACGAGGATGGGCCCGGCTTGTCTAGCTACTTGCATGCGACTGTAGGGATTTTCAGTTCCGTGTACTTTTGCCGACAGTAGCCAATCAAAAAGCACGTCCTATTGCTGGCAGGATACGTTTCAATGTGCATCAGACGAGGCTTACGGAATCTTGGCATGTATTTGCCTTGTCTTCGTTGGTGAACATGAAGGCTTACCAGCAACCACAGCCAAGGCGGCCTTTCCGTCCTCGACCCAACTACAACCTGTGAGACATCCGTGGCTTTCGGGGTTGTGCCCAGCGAGTTGGCTGGGAACTCGGACGATTCATTGGACAATTGCAGTGTTCCGGCAGAGAAATTAGCCGCCCGCAAGGCCCCACAGCTACCGGCAGCAACACGCGCTGAGCTCAGACTTGTGGAATTTGGAAAGTGCACTTAGCAGAAATTGGGTGGTCTGCCGGCAGGCTTGCTGCAGGCTTACGAGCTGCAGCGCGCCCAGCGCCTCTCCGCAACAGCCCTCGCCGCCTGGAAGCCATAGAATCATAGAACAAAACAGGAACCCTCTCTGGTAACTTAGAGACGTCTTCTTTGAGGCTTCGTGCGGCGAAGAGGAGCTCTCTGCCCGCGAGCTCGGGGCCGAGGCACTGGAGGCACCCGGAGTGACAGAACAGGAGCTTCGGACTGATCGGCAAAGCTGCAAGTCCAAGCAGCGCAGGAGCTTTTCATGGAGACGGCCACGCCATGCAACACGATGCCAGCAGCTGCTCCTTCTCAGCCAGTTTCTGCAGCTTGGCGACATGGAGAGTCATCCTGGATCACCACGGGTCCGACAGTTCACGTCGTACGGGGAGACCGAAACAAAGACACTGCTCACATCTGCTCACTGGTGAGATGAATTGTAGGAACGACTCAGCATGTTCTCCCGGTTATGTGAGATCTAGGCGTTCGAAGTTTTGTTTCTTTGACCTTCCATGGATCGGGGAACAGTTTGACCAGCTTGGCCCGACTTGAAACCTGAACTAGTGCAGGTAATTGTTCTCCGTGATGGCGAGCTGGCAGTTGGCATTCTACAGAAGGCACTGTGCGGCAGCGAAGCCGGCGCGTCACCAGACATGTCAGTGCGAAAATCCTGGCTTGAAGATGTAAGATGTTTCCTGATCCAGGTGCACTTTACTTTTCGTGCTCGATTGCAGCGAGATCTGTGTGATTCCAAACAGGTGGTCCCCAAGCATGGCTGGACGGCGCCGTTCTTGCATCGGCGAGATGGCGTCAGCTCGTTCGCCCTGCAGCTTTGCGAGGCCTGGACAGTGTGTGCAGTAATTGCCGGCTCTCTGGAGAATAACCTTGGCCATGACAAAAGACCGCCTGCGGGGAAGGTCCGAGAAAGCGATGGTCTTTTGACCCCCTGGGGCTCGACAGTCAAGGAGCATTGGCCGCTTGCTGTGCAGCTGCAGTTCTTCTGCTGTCTTCAGATATGCCGGTGTACACTGCAGCAGTGTGCGGTCGGCCACAGTTGCCAAGGTACTATGCTTGTGACTTTGTTTGCATGGCTGCCTTGCAGCCCGTGTTCACCCGAGGCCAGGCTGCTAAAAAGCACGTGCCTAGCTAGGGCTTCGGCCATGCTTGACGCGAAGTGAGTTTCAGTCTGAATCTTGGGGTATAGGCAAGCTGCAGTAAGACACACATCAACAGGAGCCATGAGTAACAGTGTTTAATTCAATTCCACTGATAGGGAGTGTGCCGCATACCTTCAGAGATGCGTGCAAACGGCAATGCCAGATGAGTGTGGCGCGGTGTCGGATTCCACAGGATTGTGTTGCCACATCCTTGGGCCCACTTGTGCCCAGCTTGTGGCCAATCGCCAGCGGCTAGCGGTAGCCGTTCGGGCTGGCCATGCGGCAGCACAAACCGCAGCCAGAGAGCACACGCAGCGTCTGAGAGGTGTTCGTGGAAACGCATCCAACCAGGTGAGGACGGTGCGTTCGTAAGATCGACCGTTGTGGTTTTGTGCACGCCAACAGTCGTGACGTTTACACAATCGCTGAGCGACGGCAAGTTCGTGGCCAGTGGCCATAGTTTTGATATGGCCAACCTGCGCACATAACGGCATTACACCTTCAGGATCTGTGTGCTCGCTTTGTGTGCTCGCTGTGTGCATGCCTCACTTGGCCATGTGTCTCGCAAAGCAACCATGATGTGCCCATGCTTCAAATTTACTGGGAAGTCATCCCTGTGTCACTTGGAGGGCAATGCCGTGGCAAGCACTTGCGCAGAGAGCGAAACCGATGGAAGGTGGATCCAGAAGGCAGCCGGGTGCACGGATTTGACTTCGTGAGGGTGAGGGTGTGGCGGGGTCGGTTGGGTATTCACGTAACAACACCTAAAGAGGATACAAACAGACAGATATGCTGTTTGGCAGCTCAGCTGGCCAGGCCTGGAGAGATGGCAGAAGATGCAGGCCCTGCTTTCACAGGCCATCTGGCGAAAGACTTCTGACCTGTTGAAAGCAGAGAGCATCTGCTGATATTTACACATGGGGAAGTAGAAGCCTGCATGTGTCTCGCTGCATGAGCATATACGAGCATCTTCCGGGACTAAGCATCAGACAGGGCAGTGGGATGGCGCTGGCGCGATCGTCCCGCAGGGTCATGTGCAACGATGAGAGCCGTGTCCCACAGTGAATCCTCTATTGCTCTCGCTTGTGACTCCACTGCGTTGTGTGCAGACAGTCGGGGAATATTCAAACGGACGAACCTTTTCCCTGCAGGTGGGCTTGCATCACTGACGACGAGATCTCAAACCTTGTGACAGAAAATGCAAAAAAAAAGCAGAAAGACACTGCGGCTAAAAAGCTTGGCAAGTGACTTGCCATCCAAAACCAAAGAAAAAAACAGAGCGAGAGAACGCCTGCCAAAAAATCTTCCAAAATTAAAAATGCCAAGAAGCAGCTGCTGCCTGGCATTGTGGGTTCTGGGGGCAATCCAGTCAGTTCCTGCAGGAACTTCAGTCCTCGCTTATGACATACAGCAGGAAAGAGACATGTTCGACAGTTGATCGAGAGAAACTGGTGCAAGTGCTTGTGTAGTCTGCAACAATCTGCAGATCTTGACAGCCCTTGGGACCCGTTTTGCACCGGCAACAGTGTGCAGTTGGCGGCTTCAGAATACTTGCTGCACCATGTCACCGAACTAGACGCAAGATCTCCAATCCAGTTCGGTCTCGAATCTGGCGAAGGTTGACTGAAGCCGCATCTGCCATGCTTGCAACCGGGATGCTTGGGAGCATGGGTGTCTGGTTTAAGCCTTGTGCAAGCGAGCGCAAAGATCTGCTGCTAAACTGTTTTGTCAGAATGTTTCAGCGAAATTGGCCTCGGCACAGCTTTGCCAATTATCCCTGTTGCGCATGATGCCCTGCAGCACAGTGGGCTCTGCTTCCTTTTTGCGACGACATGCAGCGCTATGCATCATCCTCTGTAGTTTCGTAAGTGCCTCCATGCCACGGTCTCGCTTCCGAGGATTGTCCCAGCCGCATGAAATCACATGTGGTCCGCCGCAATCTAAGAAAGGTCGGGAGATTTTTGCTAAGAAGATGCACCTGTCATACAGACGTGGTGTGGAAGCTCTTGCTCTCAGAGATGGACGCTTCTGCATCCCAGATCATTGGACTTCAAGCCAGATAATTGGCATCGCTTCTCCGGTGTTGCCAACAATTTGCCTAACCTGAGTGTTCGATCTTGGGATGCCGAGCCGCAGAGAAGCCCAGAAGGCATCCGGGAGGGGGGGAATTGGAGTTTATTTTTGGTCGACGGGTTGGCATGCCGAGCTGAACTTCAAAGTGCAAGGTCGTGCTGCAGTGTCTGTCAGGGTCGCCCGTCCGTCGCAAGTTAAGTCTTATAGTAACATGCGCAACTCCCAACAAGTCTCAATCTTGCGCAAAACAAGCTTAGGGTAACATGCGGAAACACAGGCTTGACCAGTCTTGCTGTCCGGCGGAATCGTCAGAGTCACAGCCACAGCCTCGTAAAAACCTAGCAAGCACTTCCAACCTCTCCCTGGCAGGGATGCACCTTCCAGAGATCTTCTGGTGCCGCCGGCGGGGTGCTGGCGGGCCAGCAGAATGTGTGAATTTGCTGTTTGCCAGAGCCACATGAGGCTGTACCTTGTAAGCTCGAACCTAGATCCTGTGACATGCGAAGCTTAGATTGCGATGTTTAGGAGGAAGGTGCTCCTTTCGAAAGGCAGAGATTTCTCCTCTATGGCTTCCTGAGCCGGGTAGATATCTACAGAGCTATCCGGTGCATTGCTAGCGCAGGAAGGGAGAGTGCTGGTGTGCTGTATGAAATTGCCTAGGCGACGTGTATTGAGTAGGCACATTTACGTACCCGGCACAGCGGCCGCCACAGTACCGCATGGGAGATCTGCTGTTCATCGCCTCGGTTCCGGTGTTCGGATGTCCAAGAGACCGGATACTATTTTCAGAAGTGCATCCTAATTTCTAATCCTCACGATGCCCGAACCTCGGGACCAAATTTTGCTGGACTATTGTGCTTTGTCGGTTTTGATTTGGTTAACTGGAGCATGGAAGGTGCTGCAATCCCTGCCCTAACAGCTAGGCATTCCCTGGCAGTTTCCTGTGGGAGATGCACACGCCTTTTTTCTGCCTGTCGGTGCATTATGACCCGCTGTACCTCTGGCATGTAATGCTGGCTTGCTTGGCGTGCGCATACGGATGCTGTGACGTGGAGCCTTGTACAGTTGCCCGCGAAGCTGAGGAACCTTTTGATCCAGATGTTGAGACGGTGTCTGGCAAGAGCTAGTGTCAGACCACGTAACTTACCCGCAGGCCACCGAGAAGAGAGGTCGCTGATCCAACAGATATCCCGAAGCAACCGTGAGCACCGGGGCAGTCGCCACGTTTCGCTACTGTACGAGAAGTCATGCCTTCAATTCCGCCGGCTGCCCCCTAACACACCACGGAAGTCCGGGAGCTGGATTTCTAGGTCGCGACATTCACTTCTTGAGCTTGATGTCAACTTTTTTCGCGTGGAACTATGGGACACTGCTTTTGGAGTGCCCTGTAGCTGGTGTAAAACGCATCCCTTTCATTCGCGAGTGCAAAGTGCTGTGCTCGTGTTTCAGTTTTGAATACTGCTCCCGGCATGCTGCCTGCAGGCGACTTGTTCGTTAGCTTGCAGGGTGCGCTACTGCAACCACCCGCGTCTAGCAGCTCGTGTGTGTCAAGCCATCTTCAAAGCACAACACGAGGCAAAGCTCGCTGGCAGCATGCTTGAGTTGCCTTTACAGGCCATGCTTGCTTCCTAAAAAAGACTCACGATCTCAACATTTCGCCAGCAGAGAAAACTGTGGCCCGCCTCAAGATGCATCGAAGCTCATGAGTTTTTGTTCAGGCCAGTTCCGACAGCTGGGTTGAATGCTTCATGCATCATGTGCTCAGCATGAGGAAGGCATCAGTAAAGTCATCATGATAAGGAGTGGCCAAGGAGAAGGACCAAGACACGTTCGAAGCAGAAGAACATCAAAAGGCTGTGTGACTGGTGCCAAGTGCCTGTCGCAGATAATGTTGGGCATGCACAGCAAATCGCTGCCGCCAGCTCTGGCAAAGGCTTCCTGTAAGATCGCCTGTCTAGTTCATTTTGGATTCATGCTGCCAGCTGCTCAGTATTTAGATCTCGGTGGCAGCCGTCCCCGAAGAAATAAAGCTCAGCTGCCGCTGTTGTGTCAGACATTTGCAGCGTTGTCAGTCCCCGCAAGTGTGAGAGGGGCATTGGAGTTCCCCCAGTGTGGTGCAGGGACACTCGATCCGAGGAGGTCAAGCAGCAAGTGGCTGCTAGGCACGTCGTGCCAGAGTCGTGCAGCCTGTGGATCTGGAAGGTTGCGAAGCGCTCAAGCACAGAAAGCTTTGTGGATTTGTCCTTGTCAGGCCTATCACTGCAGTCACTACATGTTGTAGGTCGCGGACGCTCTGGCTCATGATACTTTGGAGGATGGGTGGCAACAAGAACTCATGCTCAAGCTGCAAGGGCAAAAAGTCACCTTCACGACACGTGGTCCAGCAAGTGAGAAGAAGCGACAACAAGTGACAATTCCGGCAGTGCTTGTTCGCTTGTCCGCTCGGCGCTGGAGCCATTGAAAAAGGCCGGGTGTGCACCACTCTGTACATCATTCATCGGACGCCCCGGTTGAATCGACCAGAGTGGACAGGTGTGCCCGGTTTCATTTGCATGGACGGCAACCGTGCTGCATCTGAGAGCTTTAGAGTTGCTCTCATCATGTATGCATTTGATCATTCAGGCCTTGGCGTGGTCGATGCCTTGCTAGAGGTGGCCACAACCAGCCCGGACCTCATGGCGCCGGGGACGAGTTATTCCGTGAGCGGATGGACCGAGACGACTGGTCCTTTAAGACCTTAAGGGCATGAGCCCACGAAATCCGATATCAAAGGGGTCGTGTGCACTGCTTGAAGAAAAAGCATCTCGGACGGAGAGCTCCCCTTGCAGTGGCTACAGCTGTTGCCGTCTTTAATTCAGGTTTGTCGCGATGGTGATGTGAGAGTCTGTTCATGTGCATGTCCTAGATGAGCGGGCCTAGAAGCCAGATTGTTTGACTTGGACGCACCTGGTCTAGACCAGGCCGTGTGGATGCCGAGTGCATCGCAGCCCGGAGATCCGCTGTAGAGGCCTTCGCGCTAGACCACCTTTGCTTGCAATGCCTCATGCGTCTCTCTTTGACCACTCTGACCAGTCTGGCAAGCTCTCTCTGACAGCCTTTGCAGGCACTGACTCCGGCAGCTCGGAGAGGCCTCCCGCGACATGAGATGCTCTCGTTGGCGCGCGCGCGGGGGTGTGTGTGTGTGTGTGTCTGTGTGTCTCTGCGTGTGGCAGAGTGCACCGCCGTGCCAGGGCCTTCGCCATCTTGGCTCTTGAAGATTTGTCGAGCCAGGGGTGCTGCATAGACTTCGTATAGATATCCACGATGGGTGCTGGTCCCTCCTTCAAGGCTTGGTGCAGGAATTGCTTGCACCGTTTGCTCCCGCAAACGAGCGGCTCCCTTTACTAGTCCCATCTGTCAGGTTGGCCCGCAAGATGTCGCGGGCATGCTCCCATTTCTGCTTGATGCAGCTCGCCAAGGCAGTAAGAAGTACATTGTTGATGGAAAGAAGTTCGCTCCGCACCTTGGAAGCATGCGCCGTGGTGCTGATGCGCAGGTTTGCGAACGCAGAGGAGGAAGGGGCAAAATCAGAGAAATTCTGAGGTTCGGGATGGTCCCTCACCAGGTGCAGCCGGAGAAGGTGTCCAGCTTTGAGGCGAGCGTTGCTGAAGCTGAGACTGAAGCAGCGGGATCTCAGGCTATAGCCATACCATAACCTGTGCATGAAAATGAAACCTCCGTAAAGCTGAAGCGTAATTCGAGGTAATTCGGGAGCAGGCCGAGAGTATGAAGTTTCAAATATTTGATCCAGCCATGGATCAAACACACCCGGGGCTGTTCCTACGATCGTGGAAATTGATCCCCCAATTCCTAACCACCAGACCGACAATCTGGGAACCAGTTTACACGATCTACACGGCTCTGAACAACTGGCGATCGCGCTCAACCTGTTTCATGCGACCGCAACGTGGGAGTCGGCCACAGAACGGCATCAAAATCTGAGCATCTCCGATCTTCACACTTCGACCGGACACCTCGATCACCGAGAGGAGCGCACCAGAATGCTGGCGACCGCACCACATTGTCCGATCGAAAATCAGATGAGACATTCCCAGGCCCTCAAACTCCTTTGGGAGTATCAGAGACGACCGCTGTCCAACCGCACATCAGACCTGTAGCGACATCACCAAGAGACGGGTTATCCGCCGGGTTCGCATCTGTTGGTAACTCTGTCGACATAAACTGAATGAACATCTGAGCTCCAATGCGAGATCCCAGAAAATTCCTACGAGCTCGCAAACATCTTCCCTGGCAGGATGCCCTTGATCAAGGCTGCTTCCACCGGCTCGGAATCGATGAAAAGGAAGACAAACTTGCCTCTAAGTTCTTCGCGAAATGTCTGGATCGCCACCACTGCAGCAAGTAGCTTCACCATGCAGGTCTGGGTTTTCGGGGGAACCACGGCTGCATGATCAATGGGGAGACTCCAGAGGAGAACTGTCTAGGTGGATCATCCCTAGTGAACATTACGCCACCTATCATCTCAGTAGGCGGATCTTTCGGGCTTGAGCTCGGAGCGGAGCCATCTGTGAAGATCAGCACGTCGGACTTCTTCGGCCCCGAACTGGGGATAGGCCGAGGGGGCCGGTGCATCACCAGCGTTTTCCATTTGTAGAGCGCGTAGATCGAAGCTGGCGAGAGCCCTGTAGAAGCGGTTCTCCGAGAATACTGTCGATCGGACAATGCTTTCAGGAAAGCCCGATCTATTTTACCCCAGAGCTGGGAGGCCCCGAACATGAGCTTCTCTCGAAGTTTTCCCGCTTGCCCGGGCGAGAGCTCTTCGTGCTCCAGGATCATGGAGATCTCCTCGAAGAGTTCCTGCTTGCGCGACTTGATCTTGAGCAAGTACTGGTCGAGGTCATAGGTGACTCCCAGGATCGGCGCCGGGTCGGAGCAAAGCTGCAACTTCTGCTGGTCGAAACGGGCACCCAACCACCAGTGAGCGCTCCCTCAGCAGTGCTCGCAGGCTCGAGCCCATACTTGTCGTCATAGAAGTTAAACGCGGCCACGGTGAACACCCGCCGAAGGATGTGGGTGATAGCCGCCGAGCGACGGTTGTAGTTGTAGACTGCAGAAACCAGCCCGAACGAGTGAATATGTTTATATACAAATCTGCTGATGTACTCATGCACCACACTGAACTAATATATTGATATACTAATATACAAGTATACAAATACACTACTACACTAACATATACATGTTTTGATATATTAATCTGTTAATATACGAGTCTTTTCGTACATTAGTCTAGCAAACCAATTTAATGATTTAAATTAATAGCAATACAAGTACTTCTGGGAATATTAAAATTGACAATAAAACCAGCATTAAGATGGATACTAATACTGATATTAGCACTAATACTAACACTGACATTGACGATATTGACACTGACACCAACACTAACACTAACGCGAACATGAACACTAACACTAAGACTAATTTTTAATTTACTAATCTTGATGTTAATATTTTTATTAGATATGAATAGTATGACAAGACTACACTCATATTAACACTTAATACTTCTGCAAAACTAATGCTACCGAGTGTTTGCCAGGTACCTCGCCTGACCCCGTCGAGAGCGAGTACCAAAAATCACTAGAACTAAGACTACGACAAACAGTAATCGTGACTAAATTTAGAACCAAGAACAAAACTGAGTCGAGACTACGATTATGACTAAGACTAAAGTTAGGACTGGGAGCGTTGCATGATCTTGTAGAGATTTCCAGAAAATAACAAAAAAAGAAACATTCCAATAATTCCAACAAGACTCCAAAATTTCCAACATTTCCAAACAATTCCAGAATGTTCAACAATTCCCAAAGTCTATGCCCTATCTGGCAGAGTCGGTCCTTAACATTGGGGGGAGAGTTTTGCTGGAAAATTTGCAAATTTTGGGAAACTTGCAATTTTTGGAGATTTTGGAATTTTCGGGAATCTTGACAATTTTGGAAAATTAGGGGGAGGAATTTCGGAAATTTTGGAATTGAGTTTGGGAGAGGTGATTGTCGCCCATCCGTTGACAGATCA